CACCGTTCCTGGATCATAATCTCCCCCTCAAAACCAGAGGCAATGGACTCCCCAGCGACCCCCACGGACTTCTCGCCGCTTCACAGTCTGGCACCCCATAGTGAATCATGCTATACAAAAGGTAAAGCTGTTGCCCACGCTGGCTTGTGGTTGGCACGGTAAATGTTTCACAACAGTAGCTCGCGAACCGGTCCTTAATTGTCATGAGCACGACCTTCAAAACCATGTACTCACAACCCACCTTTAATCAGGTTTATGTGTTAATTAATTAACATAACATGATTAACCATCATGAGCTACCATTAAATAACCATAAATAATAATGTAATTTGATTAATCCCATTAATGAGCTAATGTTTCTAAGCATGGCTAAGCAATTATACCTATATATAGCCTTTAGCTGAACCAAACCAATATATAAGCTCCAAGCTAATTCAATTTATTACCCATAGGAAAATAAATTCATCATTGGCCATTAATTAATAGGGAAAAGCTCACCACCCGATGATATTCGAAAATAATGCATAAGTTGAAATAAAACATTAGCTTTAAATAGCTTCAACATGCTCAAAGGGTTGTTTGGGATCTTTGTGACTTGCCTTGAGCTTCTTCAAACGCTTCCGATCCTTCCTCAACAAAAACGCTCTCCTCCGGAACGTCGGAAACTAAAGCAAATAAACAAAATCAACAAAACAGTACAAAAACAAGCATAAACAGTACATGTGGATATTTTTAACATGTAGATCTTGATTTTAGATGAATTTAGCAACTTGAACCACCCGAATCGGAGTTACGACGATTTAGTTATGAATTTCCGAAGTTTTAATCGATTTTCATCTAATCCAGAAAATTATTACGAATTAAATAAAAGATTTATGACGTCACGATGACGTCATCGCCGACCTAGCACTGGACGACGCGGCCACCGGCGATAGAGAGCTCGGCCGGGCTCACCGAGGACACCAACGCGAAGAGGACGACGTCACGAACTCACCGGTGCGAAAAACAACGACGGACGACGACGAACGACGGCCAGCGATGAGGTTCGACGGCGGCTCGGCTCGGTTCCCCGACGGCAACGGCGCTCCGGTGGTCTTCGGCGGCTGCGAAGGGATGGCCGGGGTTCTCCTCCTCCGTGCGCACCCGACGGTGGCGACGGGAGGCGGCGGCGACGGCTAAAGCGGCGGCGTGGCGCGACTGGAGAGGCGGCGGCGGCTAGGGCAACGCGGTGGCGATGCTACGGACGACGAGGGAGCTTGGGACTTGAGGCAAACGGAAGAGGACGACTAGGGGATGCTATTTATAGGCGGTGATTAGAGAGATCGGACTCCAAACGAGAGGAATCGAGCTGGGAAAATCTAAAGTTAGTTTGGAGAGATAAACTCAAAACGAACTCGATTTGGTTTATCCGGGCAAAATTGATTCTCGAAACCTTAGGGGAAAGGAAGAGGATAAGGAGGAGATGCTTTCCCCTCAAACAATCGGACTCGGGGCGACCGGATAGGGCGAATTTGGAGGAGGGAGGCGGCGCTCGGGCTCGGCCGGCTCGGCTGGAGGTTGAAGACAACCTCGACATGTGGGCCCCACATGTCGGTGGCCGGGAGGAGGAGGGTGGGGCGGCTCGGCTTGCGCGAGGAGAGAGGGATGTTGGGCCGAAAACCGGCCCAACGGCTTAGGGGAGGATTTTTAAAACTTTTTCAATTAAAATAATTCGTGAAATGATGTTTCATTTATTAAAAATACTTCCCTTGCTCAAATAATTCCTAGAAAAATCTAAAAAATAGATAAACAAGCAAAGTATTTAATAAAATTTTATCTAGCTCAATTTTATGTTGAAATTTTTCATAGATTATTAGAGTTTAACTTGTAAGCTTTTAAATTAATTTCTAAAAATGATTTAAAAGATGAATTATTAAATTAGGCGATTTTCAGGACGTGACAATTAGAGAATGGAGTTGCTAACCTTATCGATCCCTTCAATTTGTATATTATCACCAAAACCATTTCACCAAAAATTTTGGTAGCACCTCCGTCCCTCACACCTCCAATTTGCATCAATGACTTGGGCTGGAGGAGGAAGAAGTATAAAAAGGTGGGTAACTTTAGTCCCACTTGACCGAGACTAAAGATCACCACTTTAGATCTTTAGTCCGGATTGGTGTTAACAACCAAGACTAAAGATCCCCGGCCCTCTGACAGGACCCTAACAGGCCCTGTCAGGAGGCGAACCGGGCGGTTAGTCCCGTTGGAGTTATTAACCGGGACTAAAAAAGTAGTTTTAGTCTTTTTTTTGGAACCTTGCTATTGTGGTTTTCAACCGATCCAGCAAAGATCAGTTCTCCGGTATCATAGTAACACTAGTACAGATCCTTTCATCTGTGACGGCCCATAACAAGACTGGAATTTGCGGGCCGTCACAAGGAAGTAATCTCAATCGGGCCGGAGGCCGACAGCAAAGCAATTCATGAACCCCCACCGATGAAGAAGAGCAGGAAGGCACACTCTTCCCCTCAGAGAATTACTCTCGATAAACCCGAAGCAAAGGGGAGAGGAAGGGGAGAAAAGGTGCAGGCCTCGCTTCTAGCTCCGAGGAAGCTAGATCTGGGCAAGGGCCAGGAAGAGACTAAGGGCAAAGAGGTCAAGAAGAAATACGTCGCTCCACAGGAGTTCCAACTAGGCATGCCATTGGTTGGAGATGACGTGCTTGCCGCAATGGGCACCGCTTGCAAGGACCTTCACTTATACTACATGGAGAAATCTAACGTCAGGAAGCCGAATAAAGCTACCGATATCCTTGGAGAGCACGATGGAAAGCCATTCCTTGGTTCAACAAATTATATCATGGTCTACTTTAAGGATCTTTTCGACCACTACAGGCTCCGAGCGGTGGACACAAGCCTCCTTAAGTGCTACTTCTTGTAAGTACTGTAGCCCAACTCAATCTGGTAATAACAATCGGTTTAACTTGCTTACAAGATCATTTATCCTGTGTGTAGGTAAAGTTGGCAATGGTGTCAGAAGCATGCACCGGAAGTTGCCTTCCTTGATCCACAAGTGGTCACTGTCACAAATCTCCAGAATGACCGTCAAGGAATGGTCAACTACATCTACGACACCTTGTGGTCCCGCCGAGACAAGGAGTACATTATGTGCGCCTATAATCAATAGTAAGTGTGTTAACTAAATATACACAACAGCATGACACATTCCTTAAGTACTTAATCAACTTTCACTATATTAATGCCGCAGTGCCCATTGGATCCTTCTGGTCATAACACCTAAGTGGAGTACATGTCACCACCTGAACTCCAGAATTGATAAGAACGCATTTGATTGGACCCCAATTCAACTAGCGATAGATGAAGCGTGGGCCCAATATGTGCAAAGAGGAGGCCTCAGGAAGACAGGACATGACACCCTCATCCACAAAAAAAGACTTCCCGGTAAAGTAACAAATAGGTGACCAGTGCGGATTCCATGTGTGCCACAACATGCGCCTTCTGTATAGAGAAAAGGTGAAGACTTTGGCTGAGTTTGAGGTCGGTGGTCTCAATTGTGATAGACTAACTACATTTTAGTACTTATATATGATCGATCAACTAATCTGGAATTATGACAATATAGGGCACAATAACCAAGTCTCTGCCTACCAGCTTTGAGGAGGTTCGCGAGGAGATAGCCAGCTTCATCCTCCGCGAAATAATTAACCCCAAAGGAATGTTTAGGCTTAAACTAAAATGATGAACAATGTTGAACTTTTATGTTTAGGCAATGATGAACACTTATTATGCAACTGTGATGATGTAACTGTGATGTTTATATTTATGTATATATTTCATATGTTTATGTTAAGACTTGCTAAATAAATATTTGATCCAACTAACTTGGTTTTGCAGGTGAAATATGATAAATATTTGAATGGATGTGAAATATGTGAATGGATGTGAAATATGAGATGGCTGTGAATGTGTGGTTGTGTGAAATATGTTGATGTTTGTGTATGTGAATGCATATGTATATGAATGGGTGATGCTGGAGAGCTGGGGATATTAGATATCTGTGTTTGTTTTTGTCATTTTTGTAGCCGGCATGGCTAGCAAAGAAGACCTGAGGCTAGCCAAAAAAAAAAATTTATTTTTTTTGGATTATAGTCATCTGTGACGGGCCATAACTAAATGCCCGATTGAGATGACGGTCATCTGTGACGGGCTTTAGTTTAGGCCCGATTGAGGTCAGGAGTCATCTGTGACGGGCTCTAGTTTAGGCCCGATTGAGGTCAGTAATCATCTGTGACGGGCTCTATTTTAGGCCCGATTGAGGTCAGCAGTCATCTGTGACGGGCTCTAGTTTAGGCCCGATTGAGATGAGTATCATCTGTGACGGGCTCTAGTTTAGGCCCGATAAAGGTTAGTAGTCATCTGTGACGGGCGCTAGTTGTGGCCCGATTGAGATAGGTCATCTGTAACGGGCTATAGTTTGACTGGGCGTCTGGGTCAAAGCTATCGGTGACGGGCTTTACTTAGGGCCCGATTGAGATAGATTCATCCGTAACGGCCGTTTGCCCGATTGGGATAACTTTTCACATCAGTGACTTCTAGCCTGTGACGGACGCTGTGCCCGATTGAGATGGGGCTTACCGCCCGATTGAGATGAGGGTATCCGTTCTAGTGTAACGATATTCATGTACGTTGCATAATTTTTTGATAGTTGTCGACATTTTAAATAGAAATGCGTAGGGACCAAATTATGCCACGTAATATACAGTAGAGCCGCAGATGATTTGAAAAGTCGGAATGAAGTTCTCTACGTACGCTAGGCGGCCGGCTTGCCGAGTTGCTCGCACGCGCGAAGACCTTGACCTAATCCTACTCGCGGGGAAGACTTATACTAGTCCAAGTATGACTTAATTATGAGTTATTATATTTCATGACTGGCATATGTGTATCATATCGCACGTAACTTTAATTTAGACATCAAGCACGGGCTACTGTCGATCTACATCTCTCAAAGGGAATACACCATATATATATACAAGACTCGAGATCACTCGAAGATAGTGCAGTTGTTGCAGCATTCGCTGATAAAGGCTAACTCGAACAGCACAAATGAGTAGTGAAACATCGCCCGTGCCATCTCCCCGCGGGATAACTAGAGCTCTTCTATGGCTTGCTGTGGCAACGGTGGCATGCCTGCCCGCCGTTGCATCTTCCTGCCGTAGAAGTTGCGGCGACGTAGCGATCCCTTATCCGTTCGGGATGAAAGACGATCAGCCAGGCTGCGCCATTCCTGGCTTTGAGGTGAGCTGCAAACGGGACGGCCTGCTGCTCAAGCCGTTTCTCTCGGATGACGTGGAGGTGCGCGGCATCTTGCTAGCAGAATCTCAGGTTCGGATAAAGATGGATATATCCTGGTCGTGCTATAACACGATTAACAGAACAATGGACTCCATAAATTGGTTTCTGTCCTTCAGGGATACACCATACAGATTATCTGATACTGGCAACAAGTTCACGGTCATCGGATGCCGAACACTTGCTTACATCACCATCACAAAGCCGCAACAGCTGGAAAGCAGTAGTTTAACCACCGGATGCGTGGCCACATGTAATAGCCAGGGCGACCTTGCAAGTCTCTCCGATGGAACCTGCTCTGGGATAGGCTGCTGTCAGACCACCATCCCAAAGGGGCTTCAGAACTATGGGATCTGGTTCGATGACCGCTTTAACACAGCGAAGATCTATAACATGAGCCGTTGCAGCTACGCAGCACTCGTGGAAGCATCAAACTTCACCTTTTCCACGAGCTATGCGATGTCATCAGCGTTCAATGACACATACGCCGGGCAGGCGCCGTTGCTTCTGGATTGGGCCATTGGGAACCAAACGTGCGAGGCAGCGCGGCGGAATCCCAATCCCGATCCCAAATACGCGTGCATCAGTAACAACAGTGACTGTTTCAACTCGTCTAATGGACCAGGCTATATCTGCAAATGCAAGGAAGGATTTCATGGAAATCCTTACCTGGATGATCCAGAGCTTGGATGCAAAGGTACGAAATGAACGATTTCTCTGTGTTGACCGTATCAGTATATGCCGCGTCAACCCCTTGCCTACTTAATTTATATAGGATGCTCCTTATTCTAACTTCAGTCTTCTGCTTTCCTATTATCAGTCTGTCTGATATTTTCTTATCCGTCATTCAAGCTAACTTGCACAAGACATTTACTACAGTTACATATACAAGCCATTTGCTAAACTTGCACAGTTGAAAAACTGCAAATTCGGTAAAAATGAAGTGCGACTTTAGTTTGGTTTCTTTCTAGATGAATTATTATACTTGTATAAATCATTATTTCTAGCTAGTTTCCATTCTGCTAAGGAGTTAGACGAAAGCATAATACTTTACCTTTTAGGTTACAACATTAATATTTGCTTCACCACAGGGAGAAAAATATAAAGGTACTGATGTAGTGTTTGAAAGTGATTGATAGACAAGAATAAACTTAGTCACGTTACAAATAAGATAGGTCCTTTTAGCTTTTGTAATCATATTTGCACGTGCTCAGATAGCCTCATCTTTTCGCGTATGCTTATTAGCCAAAATTTAAATTTTCAACCTTAAATTTGAAGTTGATTTTGGGGTTTTTTTCATCGAAATTTATTTTTCAGCCATTGTTTTTAGACCGCTAAGAACACGTATATGAAAGTTTTATTTATAAATTATTTTTCGTTTGCAAAATATGCCGTTTCGCTTATTCCCTCATATTTTTAAACATGTATTTGGTTGCAGATATCAACGAGTGCACTGATTGGTCGAAGTACCCGTGTGCTGTGCCTGGAACTTGCGTTAACACTCCCGGTGCATTCAAGTGCGTGTGCCCTCCGGGTTATCCGAAAGGCAACGCCCAAAATGGGACATGCGAGAGAGATCAACTACCACTCAGTTCTGGGGCAAAAATCGCTATTGGTACTATCATGCTTCCGTCTCATGCTACATGTTTGGACTGTTTATTTTATTTCCCGTACATAACGAGTAGTAATATTGTTCATTTTTTTTTCGCGAGCATATAATAGCATTCATTCTTTATAGTGTCTTCAATTCACGCTACTACATCTTCGGAGTCACTATGAGATAAAGTATTTTTGAAGGCGGACAAAACATGTTTTCACAAGCGACCGACTAGCAATGCCGCCTGTACCACAGTCCCGCCTGTACCACAATCCCTGTAGAAATCATGATTTTCCTAGGCAGGCAACTGGTCCACCAGCGAAGAGATTTTGCAGTGAAGAGATTTTGCTCAGCGTTTCTAGCCCTTACTCGAACATCGTTCTACCTTTCGCTGATTGTTCCATGTACCATTGATGGAATCGGTACATTTGCGTGGAGAGATTCTGCACCTGATCAGGCTTGACGAGAGGTTTACCCAGCTTAAATTGGTATTTCACCTCAGCCACTGGGATCTCTGCGTCGTTGGACTCCCTCAACTGGTCCAAGGATAGACCGGTTTCTTTCATGAATAGTTTGATCTGTCGTTTTTTAGGTGTAAGAAACGCGTCACCGGGATCCAGCTCGGGCTGTGGTTGATCTCCAAGCTGAGGGACTTCTTTGGACTGTCTTTTGGACTTTTCGTCAGCCTTCTTCACTGTTCGCTTGTAGTCCTTCAGCCCTACCTTTGCCTCGACCGGTGCTATCATCAACACGTGACAGTCATGAGACTCTAGATTCGTGAACTTCTTATCATTCCTGCTTATTATTCTCTTTATATTAGAGGAGTACCCAGACGGTACCTTGATGCTCTCCAAGCATTCAAATATACTTTCCTTCTCTGCCTTGCTAAGAGTGTAGCTGGCTGGGCTTAAGTACTGGCTTTCTTTCTCCTTTGGTTCCGGGTGGAGGTCCTCACGTTGTTTCATATCTTTGAGATCATTGCGTGCTTCAAGTGTATCTTTCGACTTCCCGTACACACCTAGGAAGCCCAGCAAGTTGACGCAGAGGTTCTTGGTGAGGTGCATCACGTCGATTGCGTGGCGGACGTCCAAGATTTTCCAATAGGGTAACTCCCAAAAAATAGACTTCTTCTTCCACATCGCCGCGTGACCATCTTCGCTGGCTACGGGTTGGCTGCCAGGTCACTTTCCAAACACTACTTTCAGATCTTTCACCATATCGAACACGGTTTTACCGTTGCGAAATATATGCTTCTTACGGTGGTCCGCCTTCTGATCAAAATGCTTGCCTTTCTTCTGGACAAGATGGGTCGCAGCAAGAAATTGACGATGGCCCATGTAGACAACCTTTTTACAATGCTTCAAATACATACTTTCAGTTTCTTGCAAACAGTGGGTGCAAGCCTTGTACCCCTTGTTTGACTGTCTGGATAGGTTGCTAAGGGCAGGCCAATCGTTGATGGTTACGAACAGCGGCGCTTATAGGTTAAATTCCTCCTGTTTGTCCTCATCCCACACATGGACGCCTTCTTTCTTCCACAACAGTTATAGATCTTCAACCAGTGGTCTTAGGTACACATCAATATCGTTACCAGATTACTTTGGGCCTTGAATAATAATCGGCATTATGATGTACTTCCTCTTCATGCATAGCCAGGAGGGAGGTTGTAGATACACATCATAAGAGGCCAAGTGCTATGGCCGCTGCTCATCTCTCCGAATGGATTTATCCATCCGTACTTAAACCGAACCTTACATTCCGTGCATCCTTTCTAAAGTCTTTAAACTTTTCTATCGATGTTTTGTCACTACGACCCATCGGCGAGGTGTCTTAGCATCCCGTCCTGTTGACGTTCTTTTGCGTGCCATCGCATCATTCTTGCATGCTCTTTGTTCCTGAACAAACGTATAAGTTGTGGTATTAGGGGAAAATACCACATCACCTTCGCAGGAACTCTTTTCTTCGAGGGCTGTCCGTCAACTTCACTTGGATCGTCTCTTCTAATCTTGTACCGTAGTGCATTATAGACCGGGCATGCTTCTAGGTTCTCGTACTCCTCACCGCGATAGAGGATACAATCATTCGGACATGCGTGTATCTTCTTGTCACACCCCAATCTGATACCGCCGTACAACGGCACCTGACAGGAGCGTGTCGTAGGGAAAACGGCGTGAACCGCTTCCTACGAAACCGCGATCTCGGTACCAGTCCCAGGACATAGTGCTGGTACCCACGGTGACAAAAATGAATCATAGCAATCCTTAAAATAAATAGAGGACTTATTTACCTTAGCTTAGGTTGCAGCTCAGACAGCCCGAGAATACAACCGACGACACGGACGAGGCGAACACCAACAACGGCAGCAGCAGCGGAACCAACGGTCTAACACCCAACACCACAGGCGACGGCTGGGAACCAGGACGAAACCCTAATCTTCACTTCACCTCATCTTCAACTTCAGGGCGGAGAAACTATATATATTTATATAGAGCAAGGGTGAGTACTTTCGTACTCAGCAAGTCACGGGAACTTAGGTGTTTAATGCAAGCTTGGAAGAGAGGCAAGGTTGTTTTACAAATCTTTTATTTGAAGACATTTTGAAATCACTAAGTGATTTATTTCTTTCTAAGTTTGGGGCGAAAAGAGACTTGCGTCTCGATTCGACTTTAAGAGATGCTTTTCAACAGCTCATTTAGTAATGTACCGACCTCCCGGGTCAGATCATTACTTCTCGGCTCCCAGAGCCATTCCACTTGATTAATCGGCTCCCAGAGCCTTTTTCATTTTCTCGGACTCCCAGAGTCCAGCTGCCCAGCAGCACAACAATCCGCTTCCACTCGGGAAGCCTAGTCTATGATGCCCGCAGACATCCCAAATCACACAGATTCGTTTCTGACCACTCAGGTTGTCCATCTGCCACATAGGCTGATTCAGGTTACGATTCCCACACAACAACAACTTTTCACAAAGCACAGGCAAACAAATCTACGCAACGGGAACCACCTCACATCCGCCCATGACCGTGGGCACGGCTGTTTGAACAGTTAGTTAACCTCTGCAGAGGGGTACACTTTACCCACAAGATACGAACTTATTCCGAACACCCGTCGATATCGGAGGTTCGCAACAAAGCCTTTCCCAAGCTGACCCAGGGTTACCTCATGCCACATAGAAGGATCAAATCCTCACATAAATATAGGCCATTTTAGTTTTCACAAATCAAACTCCAACCACCTCGATCGGTAATCTGGCAAGCTTCGCGTTCTGGCCTTACCAGGAACCCGGGTTGGCTCCAATCGACCCCGCCCCGGCGTTCCCCAACTATTGGCATGCGAGGTTTCCCTGAACCGACTAGTTACTTAGCTAGGGTGTCCCATTCCACCTTGTGGTTGCACTTTGATTATGTTTGATGAGTTTCCCACAGGAATCGGTCCTTATATGCGAATACGGGACAGTGCCACATAGGCACAACCCCCGCATCGCGAGTTTTCACAATTCATTTTATTTTCAAACACACCGACACCGCATGTCGGGTTTTGAAGGCTTCACAAACCCATTTCCCAAGTTTTCGACAAACAACGGTGTATGTGGGATATTTGGTATACGCGCTCAGAGAGCACGAATACCGAGGTACCACAAGGGTGGAGCGACAAGGAATCAGGGTAGTACGACCTACAGAAATTAGTGCGACTACTGGGTAGGTCCGTCGGTTTGGCACGCAAACCGAGGCCAAGCAAGTTAAGTGTGTGATTCTAATAATGCATGTTGCAAACAAAATAATAATGACTTTTCAATTATAGGGGCAATTGATCAAAGGGTGACTTGCCTTGCTCAAGGTCTTCATGAAGCTTCACGAATCTTCGAGAAAACCCGCGATCGACGAAAATCCGATAACCGCAACTATACGCAAACAATCGAAAACCTAAACAAAGGACCAAAAGAAAGATCCTATTTAGACTAATTAGTAGTGCCATTAAATAGATCTCAATTTTACGGAATTACTGGAAGTTGAACGGAGTCAATCGGATGAGCGGTTTGGAATATATGGATTTTCGAAGTTTATTGGATTTACTAACCAAAGGAAAAAGGATTTAATAATTTATTAAACCCTTTTTGGAAAGAAATTGAAGGAGGGATGGGATTTAGACTTCTTTGGGCGGCTCGGGCTCGACCCAAGGGTCATGCGCAGCGCGGTCAGGCCATTGGGCCGGCGCGGGCGCGGGTGGTCGGCCCATTAGGGGCGCGGGGAGAGAGAGGCCGACGCGGGTGGACGCGGTCCACCGCGCGGGACCCACCTGGCGGTGGTTGGGTTCACGGTGGGGAGGGCGCGGGCTTTATAGGCGAGGAGGAGAGGTCGGTTTGGAGGAGGGAAACCGACATTGGCGGTCAAGGGAGCTCGGCTGGTGTTCACGGGCGGCTGCGGCGGTTTCGTGGGCAGCGCGAAGGCAGCGACGGTGTGGATGCGTTGGGCGGCGAAGGCGGTGGATCGAACGGCGGAAAATCGAACCGCGGGAGCGGGAGGATTAGCGCGGGCTGGCGCAGTCAAGGTGGGGGCGGCGAGCTGGCGCTGGCATCTGCGTCTCTGCCTCCAAGCGCTAGCGGCCAAGGAGTGGAGGCGTGGCGTCGTTGCTTGGGAGGGAAAAAGAGAAAGGAGGACGGTGGGAAGGGGGGGCTTTACCATGCCGGTTTGGGAAAAAGGAGGTGGGAGAGGGAGTGCTCTGCCTCTGGGATTTGGATGGACGCGGGTGGAGCGGCTTGGGCACGCGCTGCAGAGCTTGCGGCAGGCAGCGGGGCCGAGCGGCAGCACGACGCAGGCGCTAACGGCGGCGGCGACCGGGCGGTTGCGCGGCGCAGGCGCGGCAGGGCTGACGGCGGCAACGACCGGCCGGTCGGCCACGCGCAAGCGCGGGAAAGAGCGAAGGCGGTGGCGGGTTTTGGGCGGCGACGGCGGGAAGCGGCGTCGGCGCGAGAGAGAGAAAGAGAGAGAGAGAGAGAGAGGGAGAAACAGCGAGAGCGAG